CGTTGAATCTTAGTTTTATTTACACGATATTGTTCCTACATGTTGTCTCTACGTCGCCTTGGTGTCATTATATATATATAAACTGCAATAATTTTGTTATTGTCGTCAGATGACAGTTTATGTGCCCAAATTGGTTAAATTTTTAATTTTTTTTTGTTTCCGATGTGAAATCGTACAACGCGATGTAGATTTTTGTGCGTACTTTAATTCTAGACCAAAAACTTGCAATTCTGTAAAGCCAATTCAAAAATTCCTTAAAATAAAAAAATGTCGGTAACTACCGCCACTATACAATTTAAAATTAAATTTTAGTTTGGGATTTAAAATTAAAAATTTTGAAGATTAAAACAAGAAATTAAAATTTTTCACAAACAAAAGAAATCTTAGTTTGAAATTTTTTTGTAGTACCCTGTCGATATGTTACCATATTCTGGAAAGGACTAACGACACATAATGAGAACCGTGCATGCAGCACAGATGGTGCTATTAAAATAACAACAGTTTTTGGCGGTTGTCTCGCGTTGTTCGCTCTTTGATGTAGTCAATAATAAGCAGCTGATTTGTATAGACTATAGGTGAACATTTTGATATTTTTCTAACCTTCTAACTTTAACGGTGCGAACAAAAAACTCACAATGACATAACCACATAACGTTCAGCGAAATATCATGGGAGCTTCATCGTGAAATCCGCAACGATCATCCTACGAAGCCAATTGTCACTCGTAATCAGGCGGATTATTGTCGATTTTCCATCAGCGGAGTTGATAAAATGAATATCGTGTGCGTAATATGTAGTGATTTACTGGCACCATCGGACGATGTTTTCCAAACACCGTGTGGACATATTTTTCACTTCGCGTGCTTAATACAGTGGCTAGAAAGGTAAATATTCGATACTATCAAACATTTCTGCATTCCCTTGTAGTTCTCTTTTTTGCCCATTATATTCAAAGAAGCTTTTATATAATTCTTGAAAATTTCTGTATATTGCATGAATATACTTAACGTCTGTACACGTGAGTCTACGGCGTCCGAGCCAAAATGATATCTGCTTGTAATTGTAAAACTTGCAAGTCTGTCAGAAAGTATTAAATAAACGATTTATCAAAATGACTATAAAATCGTTAACTGCAATGTAGACAGAGATGTTTTGTAAATTTTTTCAAATTTTTTAAAATACTTTAAATAGGGAAAAATTATAGCGTCAAATGTGACAGACTCATGTATACTCCGAAGGGTGCAAAAGAAACGTATACAGGACGTAGACGGAAGGTTGACTTCATCTGTAAAATTGTTTCAGATCAAAGACCTGTCCACAATGTCGGGGAAAGACAACCACGGACAACATACGCAGGATATATTTCAATTTCTCAAACAACGACGGTGCTAGGTCTCTGCAAAATAGAACAAAAGATTCAGAAAATCTCCATAATCTTAATGCAAAGATTGTTGAAAAGGTTAAAAAGTTGAAGAAGCTGGCAGATGAAGCAAAGGAGTTAAGACGTCTAATCCAAAAGGTTGGAAATTTAATACAATCGATACATCCAGAGTTATACAATACATATCAGACGTGTTAAAAAGGTATTTAAATACTTTAATTATTTGAGGCATATGAAAATGTAGTATGTCAGTAATATTATAAATTTAATTACTGAATTTTTCAGATAATAAAACTCCGTGTCTGCAAATAGCAGAGAGATTAAGGGAAGCATATAAGAACTTAAAGCAAGAATACAAGTGTCTCAAATCTACAGAAAACGAATTTTTAATAGTATTACACTAAGCGAGATACATAATGTTCTTGTAATATATAATGCTCATATAAAATATAATGTAATTTTTAATTATATAGTAATTACAATGTGCTACGCGAAATATATAATGTTCTTGATATAGATTATTGTCTTTTAATCATTAGGCCTGTTCTTTTTGTCTGAACTTCTTGCACAGTTTATTTTTCCTTTTTTCTCTCTTTTCACGTTGGAGAAAATTATTTATTTTAACCATAAGTATTTGAAACCATAGAAAAGGGCCTAGAAACCGGTAAGAATGGCCACTCTCTCTTAAAACTAAGTTAAAAAATAGACCTTAAGGGGATCCTATAGCGAAGGCCGAACTTCCTCGACGTCGGTAATGTCAACATTTCTAATCCTGTTTTCTATGTTATATATCTGTGTCTGTCCTTGTCTAACCAGAGGCATCTGTCTTTGTTCGATTGCTG